CCTACTCTAGGGCGCCTTGAGAGTGAGTAAATCATGGTAAAATAAATTTTTTTGGGTGAACTAACCCTTAATTCAATTTCACAATCCTTATATGGGCGGTACGGTGACTCAGTGGTTAGCACTGTCACCTCATAGCAAGAGGGTCGCTGGTTCGAGTCCAGTTGGCATGTCTGTGTGAAGTTTGCATGTTCTCCCTATATGAGCGTGGGTTTCTTTCGGGTGCTCTGGGTTCCCCCACAGTCCAAAGATGAGGTATAAGTGAATTGAGAAAACACAATTGGCTGTAGTATATGAGTGTGTGTGTGTGTGTGTGTGTGTGTGTGTGTGTGTGTGTGTGTGTGTGTGTGTGTGTGTGTGTGTGCGCGCTTTCCAGTAGTGGGTTGCGTGGGTGGGCATCTGCTGCATAAAACATGTGCCAGAATAGTTGGTGGTTCATTCCGCTGTGGCAACCCTTGATAAATAAGCGACTTAGGATAAATAATCCACCAGTGACACAAAAACACACACATTTAAACTCAATAACACATGATCCATACTTTCCCCAGCGCACATATAGAGACTATTTACGAAAAAAAGCATGGTGCAATCACAATATAATGCAAGGACGCTGGTTCGTGGAAATGTATTTTTCTCCACACCTCATAAACCTGACCCATCCACGCATTCAAAGGACTGTGATACAAAAGAGCCGCTCAGGTCCTTTAGAATAGTTCTTCTAGTGCGGTACAATGAGATCAGAGAGAGCTCAGAGTTTGCGTCCTAATGACTTTGCCTTACGAGTGACCTCTGGCAGCGGAGCTCAAATACATAAATTCTGCATATTGTGTTGATGAATCGAGTTTGTCTGTGAAGAGCAAAGCCGGTCGATAGTGTACCGCACCATGGTCTGAATGGCGCTCAAGGCTACGTTCCTGCTCCAAATGAGAACAAGAAGCTGATAGGGTCAATACACACAGACTTTTCATTATGCACGTCGTGTCAGATGTGTGTGTGTGTGTGTGTGTGTCGCTACTTCTTTTTCACTTAAAGAGGCACCTCAGCCTTGTGCTATCTTCGCTCTTTTGATTCAAGAGCAAGATATTCGCGAACAAAAGAACCGTCGCCAATTTTCCCTATTAGAAACCTGTGGTGAAAACAAGTCTTTGACTGAAGAAGACATCTTTGTCACTCAAGTAAAAAACAAACGGCAGAATTTGCAAGGTTAGCAGACCTGAAAGGAAAAAAGAGAGACCGAAATATAGTTTACTTTGTATAACTGTGCCCTTTTTTTCCTCCACATCGAAACACCAGGTTGCTTTTATCAACAATAAACTTTGGGATGGTGAACGACCCGAAAGGTTCAGGGCATGAGGAAATGTAACAGTCTTTAAGGTTAAGTTGGCTCAAAATAGACAATTCTATTTACTCACTCTATTTGTTTTAAACTAACTAGAACAATGGTCTCAATTCCTTGAGGGCCACAGCTCTGCATACAGTAGTTCTCACACCTCCTTAATAGTCTCCAGTAGTTTTGAACACCTTGATTAGCTGGATCAGATGTGTTTGATAAGGGTTGGAGCAAAACTGTGCCGAACTGCGGCCCTCCAGGAATTGAGTTTGAGATCTGTGAGCTAGAGTTATGTTGAGCACAATAGAAGATATTTTGAAGAATGTTGGAAACTTAACTATTGACATCCAGGTTGGGCATAAAAAACTTCAAGTAATGTGGGAAACTTGATTTATTTTATCGATTAATTTCAATGTCTTACACATTAGAACACCATATACTACTTTTCTGAAATCCTAAAGACGATTTCTAACCACAGAAGAAAAAATAATGTTGATGTTATACCTAGGTGGACCATGCCAGACACATTAGGGTTTTTTGTTTTATGGAAGATTATTAGGAATTAAGAAATGAATCACATATAATCACATAAGAAATGAATGGCCTTATCTAGTATGTACTTAAACTAAAATTAATCATCTGTTAAAATGAACTTATTGTGTAAATACATGTTTTTACATTGTACTTAATGGTTGATTAAATGCCTGCATGTAACTAAATATGGAATTAATTTGTGTTATTACAGTTGGAATTACACTGTTGATTATCTCTTACACCTTCACAGGCTTATAGCCGGGGGGATAAAAGATCCAGAATTTGTCGCATACATAAGCTCATTTGACTTATTTTGACTGCTATGCCGTCATAAATTGTTAAAATAACCATCAAAGAAGGCTTCCGATGAATGCAAACAATTATTTTTCATGAGTTCAACAACTCACTTTGCAAGAAAGCATACAATATGACGCAAATTAAGTCATCTTTCACTAGTAGCCCAACTTTTATTCTGAATTTTGGACCTTATCCCTGAAAGAAAAAAATACCAATAAAAAGATTTGAAGCACCAAAAGCGGCCCATATCAAGGATAATATTAATACTAATAGCGGTATTTTTGTGATCCATAAACTTTAAAAATGTATTTTGGTGTAAAATGTATCATTATTTGATAATATTATGTTTAATAATTTTTAATTCAAATGACCAATTCTGACTAAGGAGAGTTGAATGTGATGGCCAGTTTGTTATAGGCTACAGTTTTGTTTTGTTTTTCATTTAAAACTTTAACTTTAACTTCTTTTTTTCTAATGATAAATGAAGTAATAAATTTGTATTTAAAAATAAGTATTTTTTCATATTTCTTTATTTTAAAACTTTAGGAAATGTTTTTGGTACATCAAAAATTGTGGTTACGATGACCATCTGACAAGCTTTTCCAGCTAAAAATACTGCTTAAAATGTCACTAAAATGCAGTAATAAAATCTCATAATTCAATAGAAAATAAGGTGAATAACTGAAAACAAATCCACTTTATATATATATATATATATATATATATATATATATATATATATATATATATATATATATATATATATATATATATGTATATATAATATGTATATATATGTATATATGAGCAATATCACACGAGTAGCAGTGCGATATGGCTGTATATCGGACCTGGTGGGAGGCGTGCGTGCCTTAGAGCCCCCACCAGTGCCGATATACCGCCATATCGCATTGCTACTCGTGTGATATTGCGTTTACAGTTTGACAGCATAATTGTGTATATAAAAACAAAAGCAAACATGGAGAGTCTCAAAAACCCTTTTGTATGGGGAACTACTTTCTTCTTGATTCAAATCATAAGCTGACAGTTAAACAGCTGAGCAAGCATCTTTTAAACTTTAGATCTGTAGTGTCTGCTTTTTGCTGGCTGTATGTGAGCGGAGTAATACACAAAGGGTAAAGAGGCTGTACGGGTGCTGATATTACTTAAATATATCACGGCTATCAGCCAATCAGATTCGAGAAACAGACAGAACTGTTGTATATTTATATATATATATATATATATATATATATATATATATATATATATATATATATATTTATATTTATTATATACATATACATATATATCTATATATATCTATATGTATATAAATCAATGCAGGCTCATTATGGATATGTACCAGGCACATGCCCTTTTTAGTCTTGGATAGAAAGTGCCCTTCCAAAATGACTTACAGTACTATGAGTTTCTTCTGTTTTTCACAAAAGAAGACATTTTGGAAAATGCTGGAAACCTGTAACTATTGACTTCCATTGTATTTCTTTTCCTACTATGGACATCAGTAGTTACAGGTTCTCAGACTTTAAAGTATCTTCTTTAGTGTTCAACAGAAGAAGAAAAAAACTCATAGGTTTGGAAGCACTTGAGTAAATAGTTTAGGGAGAACTCTCTCTTTAATTGAGTAAGGAGTCATTTAGAAAAGTCACAGAAATTATTATCAGAGCTTCATTTTGATTCACATGATTTTATTTGAATTATTAACAATATATAAAAGCAATTCATTACAAAACAATTATGAACACTTAATTATAAAACAATCCCTTTCCCTTGTGACAGAACACCAGATTCATTGATGAGGTAGAAAATAGTTGAGCAGATCTTTGATGACACTTTAGAGGAGAAAACTGTGACAGCACTGGACTTCCTAATGGAGTTTTAGCATTAATTCAGTTCAATTCATCTTCATTTCTACAGCGCTTTTACAATGTGGATCGTGTCAAAGCAGCTTAACATAGAAGAAAATTGAAACTGTGTCAGTCCAGTTTTCAGAGTTGAAGTTCAGTTCAGTTCAGTTCAGTTCAGTTCAGTGTGGTTTAATTGTCACTGCTGAAAGTCCAAACACTAAAGAGCAAATCCATCGATGCGCAGCTCCACAAGTCCCAAACCAAGCAAGCCAGCGGCGACAGTGGCGAGGAACAAAACTTCACCAATTGACTAAAGTGAAGGAAAAAAACCTCGAGAGAAACCAGGCTCAGTTGGGCACGACCATTTCTCCTCTGGCCAAACATCTTGTGCAGAGCTGCAGTCCAGGCACCATTAATTACCATTATTGTCATTAATTACTCGCCTCATGTCCTTAGTTCAAATTCATGTTTACTTCATATTGAGAACACAAATGAAAACTTTAGATGAAATCTGAGAGCTCTCTGACCCTCAAACCGCACGTTCATAAGAGCACAGTGCACTATATGTGTGTCGCACTGCTGACGTTTAACCCAGAGGCCTGCGCGACTTCCTCTCATTTAAACAAAGCGTGGGCACATCCGAGGTAAACATCAGCAGTGCGACACACATACAGCGCAGGACAGAGCTCTCATGGTTTGATGAAGTTTTCTGGGATTTAAACATTTCTTCATTCTTGTGGTTTATGGAGGATCAGAGAGTTCTCGCAGTTAATCTCAAATATTTTCACAAGTTTTCTGAAGATGATGAAAGGTGTCAGGGGTTTGGAGCTACAGCTGTCATTTTTAAGTGAAACTTCTTTCAGGCAGAAAGAAAAAGACAAAAACAATAAAACAGAAATACGACTTTAGAAGTTCTGTCCTGCACTGTATGTGTGTCACACTGCTGATGTTTAACCCAGAGGCCTGCGCGACTTCCTCTCATTTAAACAAAGCGTGGGCACATCTGAGGTAAACGTCAGCAGTGCGACACACATACAGCGCAGGACAGAGCTCTCTTCAACACACGTCATGAACTGACACTGACTGTAAGGTCTTGGGGGTTTGGAATGACATGAGGGAGTAATTAATAACTTTAACAGTCTTGTGAATGTCTGGAAATGGTGCTCTCCTCCTCCTCGCTTCTTTAGTTTTTTCTAAAAATGAAGAAAAACAATCAGAAATAAGACAAAGTTATTTAAACAGTAATATGAAAGGCTGTCAAATAAAACTCTGTGTGTTCCTCTACCTCCTCTTGTATAACTGCTTCACAGGATTTGGGGTCGTTGGATTGAACCAGCAGTGCTCTTCTACCTGGTGTAACTGTAGCCGTTTAGCTGGATTACGGATCAAACACTGGGAAATCAGGTCCACGCATGCTGAAAAGTGTCACAGAGAGTGTGAAATATGTCTGCATACTCAACATTCATGAACGTCTTTAAATCTTACAACATCAAATGTTACAAAACATCCACAATTAAGTGACTTTAATATCTACAGGTCCTGTAAGCATTATATTTAATCCATTTGACTTATGACTGACATGTTTGATTCTGTCACTGAGGCTGAGATTGTTCAGAGCTGTCTGCTTACCTGTGGATAACCTGGGGTGTATCTGAATTGCGCCAAACATTATTGACTGTCTGTTATTGAAGGCCAGTCGTCCATGCATTATTTCATACAGCATAATGCCTATTGTCCAGACGTATGCCGGGTTAGCATGGAATACACGACACCTCAAAGCCTCAGGTGGCATGCCATGTCCAGCTCCTGTAAGAGAGACATTTCCAGAATTCAGTCATTTCATGAGACAATACTGTGACCAAAGAAACTAACACAAAATGTCAACTCACCTCGATAGTCACTTTTGTTGAAAGGCTTTTGGGTAATTGGCTGAGCACATCCAAAGTCGATCAATTTGAGCTCTAATCGGGGTAGAGTCACCAGGATGTTTGCTGTGTGTATATCCCCATGGAAAACTCCACGCTCGGTGCAGAACATTATAGCTCGGATCAACTGACGCATTAACTGGCGTGCTTGGTTTTCCTCAATGTCCGCTGTGTCTTTGATGTACTGAAGCAAGGTCTGGCATGACTCTGCGTACTCCAGAATGAGAACAAAGTTGTCCTCAACCTCAAGCCAGTTGTGTAATCTGATGATGTTTGGACATCGGGGAGCTTTCATCAACCTAAGCATCATTGCCACTTCTGCAAGCACAGGTGTGGAATGACCATCCTAGAAAGAAAACAGATTTCAAAGACATTACCAAAGCAGAATGCCACAAAGTACAGAAACACAAACTTCAGTATGTGAATAATCACTAAGCTTCATGTTCTGACACATTTTTGCTTGCATTTGAGCATTCAGTCATGCAGTTTAAGCTAAAAGAGGACTCTACATGTGTGTGTTCTGTCCGTCTCTGAGGCTGAGCACATGCACACAACAGCACAAGAGCTCGTTAGCACTTCTGAATGACTCGTATACACTCGAATAAATCAAGCACATCCCATGCTGCAAAAGTCCCGCTACATGATTTCCCTGATTTCCAGCTTTGTGTAGAAATGAATGCAGACTGCTTTACTAGGGGCCGGGATATGAATCAATGATCATTTTAACCTCCAATAATTCATTCATTCATTTTCTTGTCAGCTTAGTCCCTTTATTAATCCGGGGTTGTCACAGCGGAATGAACCGCCAACTTATCCAGCAAGTTTTTACGCAGCGGATGAACTTCCAGCCACAACCCATCTCTGGGAAAACCTCCATTAATGTTAAATGAATTTTAATTCATTCTACAGCCCAACATTCATGTGTTCAAAACTTGTCTCTGGGTTTATTTCTTCTGCTGAACACAAAAGAAGATATTTTGAAGAATGTTGAAAACCAGTAAGCATTGACCTCAAAAGTATTTTCTTTTTCTACAATAGAGGTCAGTGGCTACCTGTTTCCAACATATCTGCTTTTGAGTTCAGTTTAAAGTGGTCCAGACAGGTACGGGACAAGTGAAGGATGAGTAAACGCTCAGCACATTTTCACTGTTGTGTGAATAAATCAACTTACAACGTCCAGATAACGGTCCTGTTGACTCTTCACCATGCACTTCAGGGCAACCTGTGGAAAAACAAATTAAATTAAAGCCAACAAATTATTTATATTTATTAATCAGGAGGAAAATGTTGACTGAATTTTTAAAAAGTAGTTCTCTACCTTTACTCTTTTACTGCGTTTGTGAGATGCCACATACACCTGGCCAAAAGCTCCTTCTCCAATCAGGTCTCCGACTTCAAACTGAGTCAGATCGAGTCCTGAAAAACAGAAAAAAGCAAGGAGATTTACTTTATATTGTCTGGTATGAAGCGGATCAAATATATGACTCCTGTCCTTTAAATCTGGACCTAATGCAATGATCTAAAAGCAGTAACTTCTATCAGTGCAGGAGTAAATTGATTAATAATCTATATTAATTATGAATTACAGAATGATGACTTACCAGGAGTGAGCCCAGAAGCCTCCTCAGGACCCTGGCCTGGCAGACATACTGACTCAAGGTCTGGCTCTGGCTCTGGCTCAGGCTGTGGCGTAAAATGCAGGAAAGGGAGCTTTGCAGCCTTCCATGCTCTCTTAAAGAAAGCAGAGACTCTTTTCCCTTTCCTTCCTTTCTTGGGGTTTTCTAAAATGAAGAAAACAAACAGAAACATCTTCATGAACAAAGCTGCAGCTACAGTGCTCAGAACATTCATATATGCCAGGGGTGGCCAACCCTGTTCCTGGAGAGCCACCTTCCTGCAGATTTCAGTTGCTCCCCATATTAAACACACCTGAACCAATTAATTAGGACCTGAACACCTCGTGATAATTACAGGCAGGTGTGTTTGGTGGCTCTCCAGGAACAGGGTTGGTCACCCCTGATATATGCTTTACATTTATCCATTTCTCAGTGAATATGGGTAATATATAGTAATATATATTGATGCATTTGAACAAAACTGATTTAGTAAACAGATTTATTTATTAAAAGAATATTTTAGTCACAGAACATTTTTAGAAATGGAAAGATATTAGAATATAGAATATTGTAAAGCATCCTATAGAACATATGAATTTAAATGAGAGATTTGTGGGGGTGTACTCATATATGTTTAGCACTGTAATAATTAATACACAACCAACAGTACAACAAATGACACTGTCTGATTTATAAATTAAAAACAACAAAGAGTAAAAATAACAGATGGCAAAATAAAATGAACCAAATTCAGGATGACTCACCACCAGTCCCATCAATTTTAGAGGGGTCTTGAACAGACGGAGGCGACTCAGGACTGACCGAATCTGCATCCGTCATTTTCTTAATATTGGAGGGGCCCGGAACACTCAATGGCTGAGGATCTTCACAGACCTGGACTGGCGGACGCATCTGCTCAGGGTCAACATGATCTGCGATGGTCGTTGACTGGATCCTGGATGGTCCTGGAACAGCCAACGACTCAAGACTGTCGCAGACCTGGACTGGCGGACGCATCTGCTCAGTTTCAACATGACCTGTGAGGGCCGTTGAGGACTCAGGACGGGCCCGATCTGCATTCGGCACATCTGCTGTTTGCTTGATCCTGGAGGGGCCCGGAACACTCAACGACTGAGGTTCTTCACAGACCTGGACTGGCGGACGCATCTGCTCAGGGTCAACATGATCTGCGATGGTCGTTGACTGGATCCTGGATGGTCCTGGAACAGCCAACGACTCAAGACTGTCGCAGACCTGGACTGGCGGACGCATCTGCTCAGTGTCAACATGACCTGTGAGGGCCGTTGAGGACTCAGGACGAGCCCGATCTGCATTCGGCACATCTGCTGTTTGCTTGATCCTGGAGGGGCCCGGAACACTCAACGGCTGAGGTTCTTCACAGACCTGGCCTGGCAACAACACCGGCTCAGGGTCTGCATGTGCTGCGACGGTCCTGGAGGGACCTGGAACAGGCAGGTGCTCGAAATAGTCGTTATCTGACTGTGGTTCAAAGGGAACCACTCTGCTCTGGTCACAGCTAAGGAAAGGGCGCTTTGCAGCCTTCCATACTCTCTTAAAGAAAGCAGAGACTTTTTTCCCTTTCCTCCTTTTCTCTGGGTTTTCTGAAGTAAAGGAAATGAACAGGGAAATATTAGAAAACTCTTTAACCACAAGTTTAAAATAGACAAACTGCTGAAAATAAGACATATAAAAGACAATCACACAAAAGAAACATCAACAATAAATGTACAATTATAATAAAAAAATGTTTGAAAACGACAATAATTAATTGGAATTGCAAATCATTTCTATGACGTAAAATGACAAATACAACCTGACAAATAGTCGGTAAGTCATCCATTTTAGACATTAGGAAAAATCCTATAAGCAACTGTTTTGCAAAAATAAACATTTCACTCCTGCTCACACGAAATGCAAACCATTATAATAACTCATTTTTGAGTCAAAATTCTGATTTATAGAATATTTTATTATAGTTTTAGTTTGAGCTATTAACAATCACCATCACAATGTTTAATCAAATTTATGAAGCCTTTTATTTTTTTGTCAGTGGGTGCCACATCTACATCGATGTTTTTCAATCAAGCACCACTTCTCCACCACAAAAAAATAATAAAAACAAAATCCATATTTTTGCAGCTTTCCATTAGCAATCGTCAAACTCAAAGTGAACAATTTCTCACGCTCTGGATCTTCAGTTATGAAATCTGTGAGTAAATTATAACTTAAAACATTTAACAATCAGTCTTAGAATTTCAAATGAAAAGAGAAGTCTGGCTCCAGAACTTCAGTTAGAGAAACAGAGCTATACACATTTATTATTATGGAGGTAAAATTGGGTTTATATTTGTTAATTTAACTGTCTCCATGTTGTTTACCATGCTAATTTGAATACTGAGTGTGAAATAGCATGTAAGACTTTAAATCAGAGTTACAACTAATTAATTGACTGTAAACAATGTTGTAGAATGATAGTAATTTGGCTGTTAATATGATTTTCCCATTTAGAATTTGAAACAATATTTCTGTTATTATATTTTTAAGAAGAAAGTCAGAATGTGTGAATATAAAACCAACTTTCCCTCAATTGTATTAATTTATCCCTGCTTTAACAAATAAAAGCCTTAAATATAATATTCTCACTCAGTTTGCTCAAATATAACAAATATTCCTCCACACCATGAAAAACTAAGAAAATTACTGCGCAGGTCTACACATAAAGTTTAAATTAAAGTAATATTAGAATGTTTTTTTGTATCAGTAACGTTAGCGAGGCACAATTTCTGTTGAGTGGAAAGGAGAAACTTTAAAGCCAGAATGTCAATACATAAAATGGCAGCAGGCCTCAATCCCAAAGTCAGAAAATATACAATATACACGAAATCATTACAATCACGAGAGGTTGAATATTTGACTCTTAAGTCGGTAAGCTTCGTTATATGGCGATATATTATTATTATTATAGTTTTTATTAAATAATAGGTGGGGAATACACCGTTTTTGTAAACTCTCATCTCACCTGTTGGGCTTCTCGTCGTGGTACAAGGTGTAGGAGAAGCCATCGTGTCACTCTGATGATTATTGTTGACAAAGTCAGTCGTGATCTTTTTAACTCGATGAAAAAACACAGTTGACTTATTATTTTCCATTTGAGACGCAAAACAAGTCGCTAAAGTCATTAAATCACTGTTCACTGTACTCGTTCGTTTGTCACTCTGAGGAATTCTGTCGGCTATGACGTAACGGCCTTCTCCTCGTTCTATTTATTCGTCATGAGATTGCTTCTTCCAGACACTTACAACTTCAAGATATTATTTGTTACTATGAAGGTAAAACTGATATATCAGAGAACCACATTAATAACTTTTTTATTTTGTATGGAAAATATTTTATTCACAAACAAAAATTCTCCAATTCGCAGCCTTCTTTTTCACATTTTTTAATTGAAATTGATGTTTTTATTAGCTAAATCTCTTAGACTAGTTAATAACAAGAAAAGTGATATATTCTTGGATTATTATGATAAATATTTTTGAAATATCAAGGATACATAAATCCTTGTTTCCTCTTGCTGTATCTGAGTTATGTATCTGTTTAAATAAATATTTTTCTCTCTTTTGTTTTTCTTTTAATTAATTAAATTAATTATATATATATATATATATATATATATATATATATATATATATATATATATATATATATATATATATATATATATATATATATACTTATATTATTTATCCTGATCTGTTATTATCATTGTTTTTGTGCAAAATTGGATTTTGTATCTTTGTTATTGAAGTCAGTAAAAAATAAAAAAATAAATAAAACAAATTTGTCATCAGTGAGGTGATATTTTACTAAAGCATATAAACATGTATTAAAGTTGTTTATCACAGTCAATATTAAGTGGACATTAGTGTTTTAAACATAAAAGA